GCGGGTTCGCGCCTGAGCGCGGCCTGCCGCTCCTCCCGCAGGCTGCCCCGCTACGTCGTGCTGCTCTGCCTCGCCAAGTGCCTCAAGGCGCTCGGCCTCTTCGAGTCCTACGACCTGCTGAAGGCCGTGCACCTCGTGCAGTTCATCTTCGTGCTGAAGCTGGGGTGAGCGAGCAAGCAGGGCGCTCCCGGCGCGCTGCCCCCGCCTGGTTTTGTTGTCAAAATGAGGGGGGGAAAGGTGCGGTGGTGGGGACAGTAATAAACTGTTCACGGTGTTTTCACTTCCTAAGCCTGCTTGCTGCTATTTCAGAAACCACATAGCCTTTATCACTTGAAAGGGGATGATGCTGCGACAGCCCTGAACACAGGAAAATCATCTGTTTCCAGATTTTCCTATGAAAAGTGCAAAGAAAAAGCTTTCCCCTTTATTGCTTGCGTCTCTGTAGTTCCCATGTGCTTCAGCTGCCGTCTTTCCCTGGCTGGGGGCTACAGCGAGGACAGTGATGACATTGATGACAAGTGTCACAGCGTGGCCCTTGCAGCAGGCGGGCACAGCCGTGCCCCGCGTCCAGCGGATGCGCCGTGGAAGAGCATTGCTCTCACACACTTGCCCACCAGCTTCTTGCCTGTTGCTTACATTTTCGTAAATAACGTTTCTGGACTTCTCACTTCATTGTTCACAAACACTGTAGCTTCTTCTCCCCTCCACTTGTTCTCAATCACAGTTGATAAAGGAGCATATTTTTTCATACCATTTCCAACAAGTGTATTCAGTGCTGTTTATATGGACAGGCTTCTGGGCATATGTAGCTTGCTAATAAAAGTGTAATATTAGTGTTGTAGCTGTATTTCGCTTCAAAAACTTCCCTGTCTAAGGAGATTAGTTGTTTTGATCCTTGCAAATCACAGAACATCTTCCCATTAATTATTCTCTGAAGAAAGAATTTATGTGTATAATTTTCCAAAACTAAAATTCACCTGCATGAACATTTTTATTGATATCTGATATAATTATAGCAGTAGAGAAAATACAAGTAGTGAGTGTGGTCAATGTTGTGTTTTAGTGGAAAATCTTGAGGTAGCTACTCTGTAAGTTGAACCTGATGTGAAAATGGAAAGACATAGCTATTTAGAGCTGGTCTGTATAAAGAGCTAATATGCTAATAAAAAATGTTCTCCTTTTAACAGCTCTGCATTTTTTATGGTTTTGTTTCAAAAACCATTTTCTTCTGGAAAAGTGGTAACCAAGCGTCAGGTGAGTTACATGTATGACATCTTTGTAGATATTTTTGACAACATGACTCGTGCCAGAAGTTACTCAGAAAGTGGGCAGAGGTCGCATGCATATCCTATATCTGTTCTTATCAGTGATGCTGAAGGATAGCCTCAGAAATGTCCCAAATGCAACTGCTTTTATGAATAGAAGTTTTGGTAGAATTCTTAAGTGTGCCCAGAAATAAATTCCATCTTTGATCTGTATTCAGAAAAAAGTCTGTTTAGGATTTCCATTTTGCTAAAATGTTTTAGAATATTATTTACAAAAATGAATTGTTTAAAAACTTCCCTTTAAAGTTTACAAAGTATTAAATAGTTCCAGTTGAATTACAAATTACTTCCTGAAGAAAGAATTAAACATATGCAAAAATACTTAGAGACCAAAACCTGTTTAATGCCTGTATGTTTTACACACACATTGCATGTGATTATTAGATACATACAATATAGTTTTTGACGGATGAATTATCACAGTTCTTCATCTTGTATCTGAAAGTCTGGGGAATGTTTGGGTTTTTTTGAAGGACTTTCAAACTCTACTGTAGAAGTACAGTAGTAGTAGGAAAGAAGAAAAAAAATCTGCTTTTTATTTTGTCCAAACCAACACAAACTGTTTGACGAAATAGGCAAGAAGGGGATAACAGTACTCTGTGTTACACAGACTTTGCGAAGCTGCTGTACTAGAAGAATATTACCAGTGGGGTTTATTTTGAAACTGCAGAGAAAGTGATAATGAAATATCTTTTTTTTTTTGTAGTGGATCAAAATTTTTAAGCATGCTGTTGTGGGATGTATCATTTCACTCTTGTGGTTTTTTGGCCTTACTCTTTGTGGACCACTGAGGTAAATATGTACGGTAAATAGTACGTTATCTCCTCAAGCTAACTTTTGTGACCTTTCCCTGTGTGGCCTATTGCTTCTCATTTTGTATCTGTCAGCCCATGATGCCAGCCATTTGTTTGCTTTTTTAAATTTTAAAATTACATTTATGCCTTTTTTTTCCCTGTAAATTCTTTTGTGTTTGGAAAGAGCTATGTAGAAATGTCTTGTAACTCTTTCTTTGACAAGATGCCAGTGACAGTCTTGATAGTGCTTAAATTATTGATGTGACTGATACATAAGATTACTGCCTATTGTACTGACTCTGGTTTACATTGTTTCCCTAGTGTCATCTCTCTAGTCACCCTGTTTACTTAACTGTTCTAAATTTGTGGTTTGGCAGTGAGCAGTAGCAATCTGTATTACTCTGTCAGGTGCCTAGAATTCATTTCTCCATTTGTTGCAAGGTGCAGTTTTTTTCTACCTGAAGGAGACAGAATGTAAGTCAGAAATGCTGAAGTTCAGCAATTAGGAGGCCCCGGCTGTGCATAAACTGCTGCACCATCAACACCACAATAAGTAGGATGAAATATAGTGGAGTAGGCCATAGAGTAGAAGCTTAAGTTTACAGAAAATATTGTCTAGGGAAGAATAATTTCACCTGAGCAAGTTAGTATCTTGTTGCCTTATAATAAGATTTCAATTTTAAGTAATCCATAAATGAGTAATTGTAATTTTTTGTTTGAGCTAGGAAATTCTTTGTTTTGTGATGTGTCTAGCGTGTCACCAGCTAGATCTATTTCTGGTAAAGGCATTGGTTTTACACAGAATCACAGAATGCTTAGGGTTGGAAGGGACTTCTAGAGATCATCTAGTTCAACCCCCCTGCTCCAGCAGGGACATCCTTTCAAAATTTTTAAGTTTGTTATATAAAAAATAGATTAAACCCTTGACCTCTGTTCACTGAGCTTTAGCTGAAATAATACATATCAAGCTTGTGCAGCACTCTCCTTTCAAGTGGGCTAAGTGTTGCTGTCTGTCTTCTTTTTTATTTTTTGCATAGGACGTTGTTGCTGTTTGAGCACAGTGATGTGGTTGTGCTGTCACTCCTTAGTGTTCTGTTCACAAGCTCAGGTGGAGGACCAGCAAAGGTATTTAAATATATTCTGACAAAAATAGAAGCTACTGTATACTAGAGGTACAAGTATCTCTTTTTGTAGAACAAAGAGTGTCTTGGACCTGTGTTTGTCTAAACAATAATTTTAAAAAATCGTGGTCCACTTTTAAGGTAGGACTTGCGTATAGCTCCTTGCTACCACCAAGTATTAAACCATCATACTGAAGCAACTGTTCTGGCAAGAGAAGTAGACCGTGAAGAGGGAAACAGACTTGATATTCATAACATACATTTTCTAGTGCAGTGGTGGTTTGCCCCCACTTTCCTGGCAAATCTAAAAACCTAAATTACTATAAAATTGTTTTGTCAAGGTCACGTTTTCCAAAAATGTTTGTTGCTCTTGTTTCTCTTACTCAACTAAAATATGCTTACCTTGATCAGGAAGAGGGAGGACCTTTTTTTTTTTTCTTGTAGTCTTTAACATTATCAGCTACAGCATGTCATAAAAATGTCAAATTTTTTTTGTTTTGTTTTGTTTCCAGACAAGAGGTGCTGCATTTTTCATCATAGCTGTCATCTGCTTATTGCTTTTTGATAACGATGATCTCATGGCTAAAATAGCAGAACATCGTATCCTTTCCTTTTATGTATGAGGAGAATAAAAATTTTAACTGACAACATCTGTCAAAACATTGTGTTTATGAAGATAGGAGCAGGGAGAACAGAATACTAAGTTGAATGCACTGAATTAAATATGCATATATTTTCCTTGATAGGAGTTCTCACTTATAAGACCACTATAGCGTAAGATTTTACTTTTCTGTCTAAAAATAATGATATTTATAGTCAGTTGAATGGAAGTTAACTTGCAGTTATAGGTCCCTTTTCTATTTGCTCATATCAGGTCACTTAGGTTTGCTAGAAGCATTCTTGATCCGTTCTCTTCTTGGAGAATTCTAGAAAAACTGGTTGTTTCCTAAGTGTTTTCAGTAAATGGTTGATTTACCTGGCTGGCAATCTTTTTGGTATATGCAGAAAGATAGTTTTGTACTTTTCCTGATGTGTGGTAGTTGTCACAGTTCAGCTGCTATGCTGAAAAGCGATGTGAAATTGCCTGCAAAAGCTTCAGCAATGATGGAAGCTAACAAAGATGCTTGTTAAGCAGATGAGCAGATTGGAAGTTGTTCAGAAGTAGGTTTCCAAAAGGTCTGCTCATCCTACTTAGTTGTATAGGGAAGAAAAAAAGAAGTGGTGCATCTAAGGTTGGACAGCAACAACGAAGCCCATAGCTGACAGCAAGTTGAAGGTAAACTTTCTGCAATTCCATGAAAAGAGCATGGAATTACAAATATATTAAGAAATAACTTTGATTAATCCACTGAGTTTTCAGTGAGTGAAGTGCTGAGTGAAGTGTCCTCTAGCTGATTTCTGAAAAAACATAATTATTTCAGTATTTGCTGTATAATGCTTGTCAATTAGTCTAGCTTTCTGAAGCTCGAATACTTACAAACTCAGAAAAAATGATCATATTTTAGACACTTCACTATTATAATGTTTTTACTGAAAGTGAATTTACATTTTTATGCTATCAGGTTTACTTTTTAATATTTACATGTGTGAATTAAAGTAAGCCTATGTATCATGACTATCTTCTATGCATTATTTAAAGAGATTCTGCCTTAATATTTTAAAATTCCTTTTTTTTTTCCAAATACTTTTAAATCTTTGTCTTTTGTGGGAATATATTCTTCCTTTCTGAACTTTAGGGATCTAGCAAACTTCTGCAGCTCAGTTTGCTTTCTTATGATTTCTTCTGCTACCCCATCTGTTCTTTAAAAAAAAAAAAAAAAAAGAAAGAAAGTTTGCCCTTAATCTTCTTTTATTTAGCCGAAGGGCACCATGACAGTGCTCTTACCCACGTTCTGTATACAATCATTGCTTTCCTGGGTGTTGCAGATCACAAGGTAAATAACTTCTTGGTTTTAAGTTGTGTGATATTTATATGTGTTTTATTGGTAGGAATTTACCTGACTCAAAAACAGTAAAAAAGTCAACATGTATGCCCAAACCTCCATCCCCTGCCCAGCCGGAACAGAACCAGCACCCTGATTTTTTTTTTTAAACATCTTTGCTGAAAAAAAACAATTCAGTTTCCGTTGAATACAAATCAGGAACCAGCTGAAACATGCAGCAAGCCAAACCATATAATATACAGTATTTTGTTGCTTTTTTTTAATTCTTCCCCAGGCTTTCCTTTGCAGTAGAGGCCTGTATCTGAAGACAAAGGTTCTCATACTTCTGTGCTTCAGTATTATTTTGTAAGGGGTGGAATGAGTAACTGAGTATCAGAATCTTACTGTGTGGGATTGACCTGACTGCTTGAGCTTCTCTGTTTCTTGTTGCGATAGTGGATATATTAGCAGCTCGGAAAGTGTTAATATGAAAATAAATCAGATATTTGCATTAGAGTCTGGTTGTCTGTGCACAGAGAAGGTGTCATTCAAGAGTGATAGGAGGCCATTTCTGTATGGAGTGTCTTGAGATTCATTTGTGGAACAACTTTGAATGAAAATACTGTTAAGTAGTATATGAGGGTAAAAGTAAAGGTAAGCAAATGGAAAGATTGTGGAAGTATTAGAAAAAGGCAGAAGTGACATGACATAGAATCCCTTTTCCCCGTTTCCAGGGAGGAGTGCTGCTTCTGGTACTGGCCTTGTGTTGCAAGGTTGGTTTTCACATGGCTTCCCGAAAGCTCTCCGTGGATGTAGGTGGAGCCAAGCGTCTCCAAGCGTTGTCTCATCTCATGTCCGTCCTCCTGCTGAGCCCGTGGGTCATCGTTCTCTCGCTGACAACAGAGGTAAGGCAGCGAGTGCACACTAGCAAACATAACTCGTTTGCCGTGTGCTTCAGCTTAAGAAGTGACTTAAATCTTTCCTTGATGATGCTGTTAGTCTTAAAGGTGTTTTATCTTTGCTTTCCTAAGCTCTCTATTTGAAGTAGTTTTCTGTATTTGATGCTCATCTTTGAATGATAATTTTATTTATGCTTTTTAGCTTCAGATGCGATATATATATTTACTGACATTGTACAAGGATTAATGACTGTATAAACACAGGGCCTTTTTTGTTTTGTTTTCTTCTCTTGAGGAATATATATTGTAATATAAGGACATGTTCATTATGCTTTTCTGTTTATGGAGAGTTAACTAAAGCTATGGAAGTATTTTAAGTAAGCTGCTGTAATTCTTCTTAGTTATATGTGTCTTTCTGTAGTTTCAATTTTGTTTTTCTGTAATAGAAATATTTGTGTTGATGTATTGTTGATATTGTTTATAAAGAAAGTGCGCTAGATTTAATGCTGCTTATACAGCTAATCTAATAGTAAACAATCTTGTTTGAAATGTGTATTTTTTGTTGCAGAGTAAAGTAGAGTCCTGGTCTTCTCTCATCATGCCTTTCATAACAGTCATCTTTTTTGTTGTCATCTTGGATTTCTATGTGGAGTCTATATGCTCTGTCAAGATGGAAGCTTCCAAGTGTGCTCGTTACGGATCCTTTCTCATTTTCATTAGTGCACTGCTTTTGGGCAACTTTTGGACACATCCAATAACAGACCAGCTTCGAGCTATGAACAAGCCACCACACCAGGAAAGCACAGAGCACGTTCTTTCTGGAGGAGTGGTAGTGAGTGCTGTTTTTTTCATTTTATGTACGTATTCTTATTTATCTTTTAATAAATTTGTTAAATTTTTATGTTATTCATTATTATGTTATTTATGTTATTTTCATTTGGGAAATGACTCTGGTCAAAATGCTTTTGACTGGGTTTTATATATTTCTCTGTATAAATGGAAATGCAATTCTGTTGTTTTACTGTCTACACAGAAGAATGTAACAACATAGCAGTAAAACTGAAGGGTAAACCCCAAGATGAGCTTGATAAGCACTTTGTTGCCCTGAATATTGCATGTCATCTTTGAACACTTGCATTCTAAACTTGCTGTGAAGCTTAGAAACAGCAACAAAAACTTGAATACGTTTCCTTGCAGCTGCCAATATCCTGTCCTCCCCCTCCAGGAAAGGGCAGAAAGGCACCCTTATTGGCTATTCCCCTGAAGGTACTCCTCTCTATAACTTCATGGGTGATGCCCTGCAGCAGAGCTCGCAGTCCTTGCCCCGCTTTATTAAAGAGTCACTGAAGCAAATCCTCGAGGAGTACGATTCAAGACACATCTTCTACTTTCTGTGCCTAAACCTGGTAAGTGCCTGCTTTCTTCCAACCCTAGTACGAAAAGATGAGTTGCTCTAAAGGCTCCCACGTTTGTTTTAAGGGATGCTTGGTAGAGTAGTCTCATAAAATAGAATCTAAAAATAGATTCTTATGCCAATCTTATCTTAAGTGGCTGGGCTGATCAATTTGCTCTCACAATGGGTCCAGGTTTTGTGTATAACTACTGTGCCAATAAGCAAATAATTACATGAGGATTAGAATAGTCTTGCTCAAGATGGAAGTATCTCAATGTTACCAGCAGATAACCTGAAACTAGTGAGGCCTTCAAGGTTTGAGATAACAAAGAGGGTACAGTGGGACTGAGTCACGTCATTTTCAGAATAGCCTTTTACTTCTAGCTTCTCTCTTTCTGACTTTTCCTAAAAAGATTATGCAATAAGCAAAATTAATATGATTTCATGAAAATTTTCCAAGAAAATAGAGGGAAAGACTTGAAGTGTCCATTATAATTTGAAGAGTTACATTGTGGAAACTGAAATGAAGAGAGAAAGGGAATTTTAACTTCATAGGCAGATCAATTATTAAAGAATAGCTAAAGCGTACAGAAGAAATATACATCACAAATGTTTCCTCATGTTTTTTTTTTCCAGAGCAAGCTGTTAAAAATAGTAGCTGGAAATAACTTTCAATGCATTTTAATAAAAGCACTTTTCAGAAGCCTTCTGTCCGATTGATCCATAGCAGAATTGATAGTCATTTGGGTATAATATTTCAATTTGCTGTAATCGATGCTTGTTTTTTGTAGGACTCCAAAATCTTTATTAGATAAGACAATATTGAACTTTTCTATTGAAATAAATCAGAGGAATAAATTATTGCCAACAATTAATTTGGTCAGTTGATGTCATTTCCAAACTACTTGTCGTATCAGCCACCCTGTGGTGCTATTTAATAGCATACTTCTTGATAATTTGATTTCACATTTCTTTACGTAGAGTGCTTAGTCTAGTCCAACTAAGCGCAATTACTTTCTTACAAGTTATTCATAATTTTGCAGAGGCATATCTAAAAATCATGAAAAAGGTGTTTGCATTTTATATGAGATAAACCTTAAAAAGGAAAGATTTGTAGGTGATACGGGTTTCGTGTGTGTCTGCTTTTTGTTTGTTTCTTTGTGTGTATGTTTTGCTTTTGTTTGTTTTAAGGTGCAAATGCATTTTTTCCCCCTCATTTAACAATTTTCAGGGACTTTTACAAAAAGAGCTTGTAAGTGATGACTTTCCGGCTTCCAAGTAGCTACAATAGTTGCACGAGTTTTCCCTTTCCTTTCAATTGTTTCTGTAGACAGTGCACGTGAAATAGCTGCAGGGACAGCAGTACTTTTATGCTAGTTCTGAATCCAGTCAGAATTGTTCATTGCTGCTTTGCACCAGAAGGCGCTGGTTTGTTATGATCTCTGTTAGAAAGGCGCTCAGATTCGGTAAAGAATCTCACAAAATTCCTTTTATTAGAGCTAACACTATAAGGGAAAAGAGGATTAGTACAGATAATTTTGTGTCCTTGCAGACACTGGGAACGTTGAGCTGTAAAGCGTCGATTGGGTCACAGCATGCCATGCAGATCTAGTTATCAAAAGGATATCACACTTTGGTCTTCTAAGCATTTACTGGGTTTTCTCAGTAAAAAAACAGTTCTGTTCATTGTTTCTGCTGTCAAACGAAAGGGACGTTCCCATGAGAAGCGGTGCTTCCAGATAAAGGCAAGGACACACAGGTGGTGTAACGGCCGGTGCCAAGTGCGAGCTGCCTGCAGGCTCCTCCTCGCACACTGCTGCTAGGCCGTTGGGTATGGGGCCCCACGCAGGCCTGCAGGCCACGCGGTGCGCGCCGCGGGCTCCTCGGGGTGCTCCTCAGGCTTTCTGCTCACGTTCTCCACGTCTGTGCAGTAACAGAGGGCTGTGTAAAAGTGACGCTGTGCAGTGCCACTTAAAACCCTAAATAAAACATTTTGTCTTCTCTTGTAGGGAGTTGGGGAGGTTGGTTCGAGAAATGTCTCATCCAGTGTCTCGTTGTAGGCTAGGAGGATATGACCAGTTTTGTTTAGAAGAGGAAGAAAATGGTTTAGGAATGCTTTGAACACTCAGATGTCCTTTGCAAGAGCATTGTGGCAACCACCAGGATATTAAATTAAAAATTAATCTTCAGGGAAATTTTCAAATCTTCTCTCATTTTAGGCGTTCACTTTTGTGGAGCTTTTCTATGGAGTGTGGACCAATAGCCTTGGTCTTATTTCCGATGGATTTCACATGCTTTTTGATTGTTCTGCTTTAGTGATGGGGCTTTTTGCTGCTCTGATGACAAGATGGAAAGCAACTCGCATATTTTCCTATGGGTATGTATGCTAACATTTTTAAGGACTATCTGAAAAGTTTGCCACTTACTCATTCTTAAAATGTCCATATCTTTATAGATATGCCCAGGATGTTTTAGCAACGCTTGTTTCCTGCTTTAAAAAAAAAAAAAAAAAAAAAACTCTTCCATACATGTTAACATCAGTACCCTCTTACTCCGGACAAAAGATTTCTGAAATATTAGCACTTCAGTAGCATAAAAGTCTACAAATAAGACTTTATCGCTGTGAATATAATTTAGAAATTATCTCTCTATATATGTATATATGTCAAACAAAAATATTTAAAGTTGATGTAGGTGTGGGTATTTTTTTTCCTCTGAATTTTTTTTTAAATGCATGGCTAAATGCCATTGGCATCTAGTAGTTTGAAGCTATATGTGTGCAATGTATGATATAGATATATATATATTTTTTAAAGGAAATATTTGGGTTGTTAAAACTTTGTGCTACTAGTGCATAGGCAGTTGCAATCTAGCTACCTGATGGAAAGAAACAGATAATAACCCAGAAATTAATGCATGATTCTGTGGTATTGTGGGTGGAGGAAGAAATCAAGCCACTCTTAAAGTACATTTAATGCAGCATGATGAACTTTAACTTTGAAATTTGTTTAAGGTACCTATTCTTCCTTCTGAAATGTGTGTGTGTGTGTATATATTTTTATATGTTTGCTTTCAGGTATGGGCGTGTAGAAATTCTCTCTGGATTTATTAATGGGCTCTTTCTTATGGTAATTGCTTTCTTTGTCTTCATGGAATCAGTGGCCAGGCTTGTAGATCCTCCAGACATAGATACAAATATGTTAACAGTAAGTTCTGTCATTTTGTTTGAATATTGTTTTGCACTTAATGCTTTGCTTATGTCCATCTTCTTTTTTTCTTTTAATTAAGATTTAAGTTGAGTATTTAAAAGACTTTTTTAGCATATAGTTCTTTTTTTTTTAATCCAAGCCATATCTAGTGTTAAAGTATGAGATATATGAGAGTGAATATAATTAAATTTTAAAAGTTAGGTTGATCTTTTTTCCGAAGAGGTTAACAGCTCTAATCCTTTTTAGATACCAGTTTTTCTGTAGTGAAAGGTGTTAAAGAAATAAGCATTTTGTATGAGACTAAACTTCAAAACAAGCTTGTATAGGAAATTTTTCTAGTGAGGAATCCACACTAGAATAATCCTTCTGGTGATGCTGAAATGGTTCCACGTTCTTTTGTTGTTGTTGCTGATGCTGGGTTTTTTGGGTAATTTTGTTTTTTAATTAACTATATAGTGTCTCTGATTAGCTTGCTCTAGTAGTATAATGATCCTCTAGGAATACATAGTGAAGTGAACGGCTTTCCTTTTGTGTGCATCTCGCAGCCGGTCTCCGTTGGGGGGCTCATAGTCAACCTCGTTGGTATCTGCGCCTTCAGCCACGCGCACTCGCACGGGGCGCCCCGGGGGGGCTGCCACTCGCACGAGCACAGCCACTCGCACCACGGCCACGGCCACAGCGAGCACGGCCACGGCCATGCCCACGGGGCTTCGGGAGGAGGCATGAACACCAATATGAGAGGCAAGTGCGGTCGCTCGGTCCTACGCAGCATAACTGGGTCTTCCCAGGGCTCCGATTTTTGAAATAAAAGCCACATACAGTTCAGTTTTAGAACCTCCCTCCAGAGGTGGAGTGACAGCCTTTAACAGAGTATGCATTTAATTTCTCAAACTCTTAAAACCAAACTCCTTAATGAATAAAGAAACATAATTCGAAGCACCACTTTGCACAACGTCCTCAGATTTGTGTGGTATCTTGTTGGTGACTCTTAAGGACTAATAAATAAAATATTTTTTCATTTGTTATAAGCATTGTTGAAAATTCTTGAAGTCTGTTTTTCTAACTTCCACATAGTAATACAAGTGCAAGGTCTCTGTCTGTAAAGATATTGCCATACTTGAAGGTGTCATGTGACAGCTGGTTGTAAAAACACTGTGGAAAGGGATAAGGAGAATAACCAAGGCAAACCAGCAGTCCAGGGTATGCTTTTATTTGTGGTTCATGAGATAAGATGAAGTATTATTTTACAAATCTAAAATTAGACACTAACTGAGAAGGACGAAATAGAAAATCTTTTCCCCTATTACTTAAAAATCTACCAAGTTATCTTACTTATTAAAATCTATAAAAGAATGAGATGTTATGTGTAAGCTACTCGGAGCTTAAACATTTTAACTAGTGGTCTCATTTCATGGCTTATTTTACATCAGTTGTATTTCAGTTACGTTTTTGTTCTGTGGATTCTTTTGTAGTTTTGCATATTTGTAAAGACTGCTTATCCACTTACTGTTTCAACATTCTTTTAGATCCTGATACTGAAGTAGCACTAATCTCATGAATAGTTAGAGGTTATTTTTCAATGAGTATTCTTGAGTATATACTGAGAATGCTACTGTTAAAGCAGTATAAATAATTATTTCTAGCAGCAGCTGACAAACAACTTAAACTGGAGCAGAGTTGGAGTATAAATCCAGATGTTAATTCATATCTGTCAGAATTGAGCAGTTCAGTGGATTTACAGTGATCTTTTCATCCTCTCTTAAGCATCAATGAGTCTTAATCCCTCTATCAGTGGTTAAATGATTGTGATATATATTGCAAATACCACTAACGTTTAAGACTACATTAGCATGTTTGCCTTAATCGTCAAATGCTTGACCAGATCGTTGCATGTAGAATGAAAATGGTAATTTATACCAATTCTTAGTCAACCACTAGGAAAGCTTTTTTGTACCAGGTTGGGCATGCAAATTTAGTTAAATCCTCCTGTGTTCCCACTAATGAATATTAAAATAAAGTTTAATATGTACTTCTAACAGAGGTGTTCAATCTATTCACCCAGTGTATTTTGTTTTCAGGTGTGTTTCTGCATGTGTTAGCAGACACTCTTGGCAGTGTTGGTGTTATTGTTTCCACGATATTTATTCAGCAATTTGGATGGCTGATAGCTGATCCACTCTGCTCTCTTTTTATTGCTACGTTGATTTTTCTCAGTGTTATCCCACTGCTGAAAGATGCCTGTCAAGTGCTTTTGTTGAGAATACCTCCAGAACAGGAGAAAGATCTGCATGCTGCTTTAGAAAAGGTCAGAAACACAACTTCAGGTGTTTTCATATACAAACATACAAAGTTGCAACTGTTTTTAATGATTGTTACTCAGGTAGTTCAGTGTGACAGCTACTTCTGCCTCAGAGAGCTTTGTCTTATGTAAAATCTATTTTGCAGAGATTTGAGATAACTGAGAGTTGTACTGATGCAAGAATTTTGCGGAGTTGGGGGGGACTAAAAACTTTTTCTGAAGATGATCTTTACGCACTGGCACTCACTTCATGATTTCAGACAAGTATGGTAACAGTGTAGGAAACCTAACTGCTAATAATAAAGTAAGTAATGTGGTAATTTCCAAAGCTGACAAGCCTTTTTCAGCTTGTTGTGTACGATTCAGACCACAGGAGTATATCTTGGGCCTGTAATTGCAGATTTCTGTATTTGTCCTATATCTTGCTGGACATGCTGGCTCATAGTGGGGTAGCAAAAGCAAAGTGAGAAAGGACTTGTAAAAGCACCTGTAGTCTTTTCCTGTCTGCTGTGCCAGGGAATACACTTTACAGCAACATCCAGTCCTCGCTGTTGGCTTATTTCAGGTTCCTGCCCAGAATCTCACTGCTGGCCTTAGTATGGAGAACTTCCCTGAGTTCTCCATACTGAGAGTATGGAGTCCCTAAGTCAGAAAACTGGTATGGGGTCTCTGCCATCAATGAGAGTTGGCAGGGAAGACTGTCCTGGTTTTGTATGTCATTTGGGAGAGGGGAAGATTAATTCTCATCTGCCTACGGAATAAAAAGTAGAAATTGGTTAGGAGAGATGTATAGTGAAGGAGAAGTGCTGTGCAGATTGAGAATTTACCTTTTGATGAAAGACGACCAAGTAACTCCTGCAGATGGAGGAAGAAGAATCTAATTCTTGAGAACAGTTGAGGAGTAAGTCATTAAAAGGTAGTAGGGAAAGCATGAGAAAAAAATGTTACCATAAACCAGTAAGACCAGTTTTCAAAACATCTTAAATTACGAGGAAGACATGTATCTGATTTAAGTCTAGCTGTCAGAACTAAGTAGGTGCTTATTCTGGATAGTGAGATAGCAGATGTGCTAGAAATGACTAAATGCCCAAACAAACTTTCTTCTTGGTCTGCCCATTGATGTTAATGTGATCTGTACACTAAGCCATTTTTTTTCTCTCTCTCTTCCTATTTATCATTGCACTCCGCAGTTGTTTTCTCCATTTAGTTTAAAAGTAATGGCTGGTAATGTACCTTCTTTACAGATTCAGAAAATAGATGGAGTCATATCCTACAGAGATCCTCACTTTTGGTGTCACTCCGCGAGTGTGGTAGCTGGTACAATACACGTGCAAGTGATGTCAGAGGTGATGGAGCAGAGAATTGTACAGCAGGTAAGTGCAAAGGTTTAGGCCCTAGTCATCTGCTACCTGTTCACTCCTAACCTTATTTCCATCACAGACTGAACTTTGAAGCTACTTTGATCGTTTCTGTAGCTGTTAGTGAATGTCTTAGAGCTAGTCTCTAATGCTGTACTTGCCCTCGCCTGCTTTTGTGGTTACTCACATAGACTTGTTTGCTCAGACTTCTGCCAAAACAAAAAAATATATCTATTGCCTTCCTTGCCACACCTGCCCTATCACTCTCCCCCGCAGTGCTTGGTTCTACTGAAAACAGTAGTGCATCTGCTGAGAAAAGGCGAGTGGGCTGGTTTGGTGCTGCACTGCAGGCACAACATGGGGAGAACTGGATGCTGGTCACAGGTTTATTGCAGGCTGATTAATGTGATCTGTCTGGCTTTCATTTTTTCTGTCTCAAAACACTGAATATGCTAATTCTCAGTACCCTGTATAAGGAAATGAGCAGTTATGCTAGAGTCACAAGTCCCTATCATCTGAAACATATCTTGACTTTCCAGGAAATTGACTTCTTGTGATGTCGATTGATTGATTGATTGATTTATATTTCAGACCCAGAATACTGTAAATTATTGTTATATAAAGTGTAAGTGCTAATGCTAACCATACCAACTGTAATACTCAGGTTACAGCAATTCTTAAAGATGTTGGAGTAAATAACCTGACTGTTCAAGTGGAGAAGGAAGCCTATTTCCAACACATGTCTGGCCTCAGTACAGGATTCCAGGATGTCCTTGCAATGACGCAGCAACTGGAATCCATGAAATACTACAAAGATGGTACTTATATCATGTGATAAGAAAGCCTTTGCCAGAGGGGATTTACACAGCTGCAGGATTCCATATGTGTATTTTTTGTCACAGGAACATGCGCATACATGTACAGAAACAAATGTACTATATATATGTTTTTTTTAAGCATAATATCTTTATTAAAGTTGGATCAAGACACTTTTATAAAGAAAGATGGACTAGAATATTTGCTGTATATGTGGAAATAATGGAAATCTTAAATACTGTAATTGGTGTTTATTAAACAGAAATCTTGCGACTTGTGGATGAGCACAGATATATTCCGTATTTTAAGAGAAAGTATGGAACATCATTATTATAATCCCTGTGCCATAGGAAATGGAAAGAGTTTAGGTTGCAATGGAAACAATCAGCTAAAATCTTTTTGTTCATTCAAACATAGCTTGAAGACTCTCTGAATAAAAAGAAATGTACATGTTTATTATGAGGAATAAATATTAAGCTATGAATTTTTTGCAGACTTTTGTTACGTAGGAATAAAAACACAGTTTTCATATTACATCTGCATATAAATCTGTTTTTAAAATTTACTTTCACTACATCAAAGCAAGTAGATGTTACCATTCTAATTTTTCTAAAATTAATTTTTAAGCATAAAAATCCAGCACTTGTCAACAGTGACTAATTGCAGATGCTTTTCTTTTATTGTTTTTGGTTGTGTGTCCTGGACAGATTAAAAAAAAAAAAGTAAAATAACTATTTTGTACTTTGTAGTGTGACTGTCTTCAAATGCAATAGTTTCAGGCATAAATTAATTCACCAGTAAACATCCACTTTCATTCATCCAGCTTAACTTTGTCTTTTCAAGACAGAATGTTCTGTTGTTTACAGGTGTGTTTCTCTACAGAAGGGGAGTGGGAGGACTTCACTTTATTTGGTAATCTTTACTTAATTATTCCACAGCTTTCCATTGTGCCAAAACCTATTTTACAGGGGCAGCTACTTGAGTAGCTAGAGAGCAGGTGAGTGAGCACGGAGCAGTGAAATCGTTGCCAGCTGTAGCTTGCTCATTACTAAAATGCTTTTCAGCCTCTCCTCAGGGAGAACCTGTTAATGGGGTAAAAACACGTGTCTTTGGAGGTAGTTATCGCTGCATGTGTTAATCCATCTCCCTATGCTCGGCCTTACTGTCAGCCCGTCCAGCACCTCCCGCCTTGGGCTGGTGCTGTGTGAGCAGCCATGTATCTTGGCACTCCTGTAGTGGAAGCCGGAGCTTTTCACAGCGTTTATCTCACCTTCCCCTTCCAGAAGGCTCGGGTCCGTTGGATACAGCGCTACACTTGCTCTTGCCTGAGCGAGGAATGATGTGTCAGGTTATTGGGCCTTGTGGTTGGTGTTATGGGAGTGGCCACGTTAGGGGATGGCGATGTCGCGT